ACAACCACCTGTTGGTAAACAATGTCCAAGCACATTCCAAAGCAGCAAAACACAGGAGAAACAAATGAGATGATATTGTTTTCCTTTTTCTCTGAGGCTTCTCAGCTTCCCAGGAGAAAAATCCTGGGTGAAGGGATTTTTCAGAAAATATGACTGTAACACCCAGCAGCTCCCTTTTCCAGTACCAAAGGTCTGATTTCCTATTTCCCACTGTGGGCTGCTGATGGATTCAGGCTCCTCCCTGTACTCCTGCTGTGTCCCCAGTGCCTTTGGGCCAGAGGAGTTTCACAGTGGCCCTGCAGCTGGGAGTGGTGTGACACTGACCCTGACCAGCTCCAGCACCCCGAGTTCTATTGGCATTGGGAGCGATGGCAAAGCACAGAAATCCTTTCACACTGTGGCCTTGAACCCTTGAAATAACAGGGTTTGGTTTCTCCTGAAGGGAAATCTTAGTGAATCCTGTCAAACTGATCATTGGATTCCTGTGTTCCACAGCAGTTTTCTTTAACTGTCCCTTCACTGACTCCGTTACTACTCAGAGCCCATTGACAGAGTTCTGCCACCCCACAGGGTGGGCCCTCCAAGGGAATCCCATTCCTCTCAGCATTAGTTGAGAATATTTCCAACAATTAGTTACAATGAGTATTTTGGCTGCTTTGATCTTTACGTTTTCTAAGAATTTTATGACCAATCCCTGGGTGAAAGTTAAGAGGTCTTTCTGGTCATCTTGGAGCCAACTGCTGCCTTTCTTACATGTCTTAAGTATTTTTCTGCACTGCAATGTATAGATTGGTGCTCTCTAGTATTTCTCTCATCATTTTTTGGGAACTATTACTTGTCCAGAAGGGGTGACTGCCCATGCACCAGGGTGAAGTCTAGCTTATGATGCTTCACTTAACTGACAATCCTTTGCACCATATTCTAGCCTAACAGCTGCTACACTGATCTCTTGCTGTGGAACCAAAATGTGGATGCCTTTTTCTGCAGCCTCTTTAGCTGCCCTGTCAGCCAAGTAATTTCCCTATTTTGGCCCTATTTTACTTGTCTGGTGTGTTCTACAGTGCAGAATTGCAACTTCAGCTGGTTTTTGTACCGCTTCCAGCAGGTGTAATATTTGTGTGCTGTGTTTGATTGATGAACCTCGTGCTGATAACAAACCTATCTCTCGAGACTGTCCCATGGGCAAGCACTACACCAAAAGTGTAGTTAGAATCCATCCAGATGATCAATTTCTTTCTTTCTCAGTTCCCACGCCCAGTTGAGAGCAACCAGTTTGGTCTTCTGCGCTGGAACACCTGATGTTAGAGCCTTGGATTTAACTCCTTTGTTCAGCCTAGTCACTGCAAACCCAGAGGTGTTTTCCCTTGTGAACAAAGCTACTTCTGTCCATGTATAGCTCCCAGTCTGGGTTCTCCATTGGGCTCTCCTTCAAGTCCAGCTGGCTGGAATCAACTCCTTTGGTTGTTTGTAGGCAATCATGTTCTGGAGTTCTTTGGAGGCCAACAGAAACACAGCTGGATTAACAACAAAGGTGGTTCTGAGGGTCCATTAGTTCCACTTGGTACCTGAGCAATTGGCTGGTGCCTTGGTTTGGAAAGACAGGAGTGTGCTAAGGAAGGCAGGAGCCTCCCCTGAAATGGAAAAATGTAAACCCCCTCCCTCCGAATTGTTATAAAATTGAAATTAAGGTGCTTTCAGGCAAAGATATGGGAGCAGGAATAACAGTCTTTATTAGGGAAGAAAATAAAAAGATAAAATAAACAATGCAGTAAAACAAAACAACACTGACAGACTCAGAGCCCAACCTGACACTCTGTGGGTCAGGGTGTTGGTAGCAGTCCAATTGGAATGGTGGCTGCAGTCCTAGAGTGTCAGGTGTGGTTCTGTTGGAGCAGTGATCCTGTAGAAGGGTGGAGTCTTCCTCTGAAGATCCAATGGAAGAGGCATCTGTTCCTCTGGGAATCCAGCAGAAATGCTGTTCTGGTGTCCCAAGATCTCAGGTTATATCCAGTTAGGAATGCTTGGCTCCTCCCTCTGAGCAGAGCATCTCCCAATGGGATGATGTAATTATATTAGTGACACTCAATGGCTAATTAACACCAAGTGTCTCCCGGAGGGAGGATTGGTTTGTGGAAGAGATAAAGAAAAACTGCCCAGTTAACAGAAGATACCTGCCACACCTTTAACAGGTGGCAAATAGAATACACATTGCCTTGCAGTCTGGGACAGCTGGGGACAGCCAGTGGCCTCCCTTTTGTTCCCAGCCCGTGGGTACCAACTGTGGTACACAGACTGTCAGGCTTTGTCCCAGAGCCAATTTAGGAGCTTCCTGAATTGACAGCACCATAGCTGTGACTGCTCACAAACAGCTGAGCCATCCTTGGCACAGGTGAATAATTCAAAAGACCTTGTGGGATCTGGCAAGCCTAAAGTTGGAGCCCTCATCAGTGCTTTCTTGTTTGAATGAAGCAGCATTCCCAAAACTTCATCTCTGCATTCAATTTTCACAGTAAGTTTCCTACTAATAAAGGTTTTGGAGAGTTAGGCAAGTACAAAAATTGATGGGTTATGCATAATTTTTCCAGTTTGAATTTGTTGAAGGAATGGGAGGAATGTGTCTTTACAAACTGTGAGTCTGTCTCTAGATAAAAGCAGATACTGGCAGGTGAAAGAAGCAACAGGAGGAACCACACATTTCAGAGGAATGCTACTAATTGACACAGACTGCTGATTATCCAAGGCCGTGTTAAATCCCTGGTCTTAGAAAAGAAGAACAGAGGTACAAAGAAAAAGAGGGGTGCATATTAGGAGGGGATATGTATTGGGTGGTTTGGGAAGTCTGTACCTCTCAGGTACCTTAGCCAAAGAGGAAAGACAGAGGGTGATGTGGATGGGAAAACAGTATTGAAAAGGAGGCTGTGTCCTCAAAAACTTGGAGAGACCCCAGGGTAAACGTGTCATGGCCTCTCCCTTTATTCAAATAAAGTTACAGGACCCTTTTGTCTCCTTTTTGGACATAAACCTCTGGCACTGTGAAGTTTGCATTGCACAGCTGGCTTGAAAAAGGGGTGTGTTTGACAAGTCCCAGAGTCACTGACAGTTGGGATGGAATCATCACTTAACTTCCCTTGCAGGGTATTTCATACAAAATAGCCAGCTCCTGTGCCTACCAAAACTCCCAGTTTTTCCTTTTCCAGTGTGGCTGTTACCACAGGCTCTGCTGAGGATGAAACCTCTGGTCCCCTTCACAAGTACCCAGCTGTTGCCATGAGGGGGTTTGGAGAAGTCCTGGGTTTTAGGTGAGGACACTTCTGCTTCCAATGTCCATCTTTCTTACAATATGTGCATAGATTTGTTCCCCATCTTTCTAATGAAGGTCGAGGAACTGAACCCCTTCCCCTGCCACGAGACCCCCTCCCCCCTTCCTCCCTGGGGGCAGCAGTCCTCTGCTGATTCCTTTTTCTTCAGCTGGAATTATTTTCTATTTAGTCATTTCCAACTGGTTTTCCTTGGATTTGTATGTACTGCCCATGCAACATCAAGCAGTTTACCCATATCAAAAGCATCTGATTCCTGGATTTCCTGAAGTTTTGTTCAAATATCACAAAGGACTATGCTATGCAAATAATAGCCAGACGACTTTTACCCTCCTCCTGAACTTTGTTTTACCTTTATTACTTTCTAATCTGTGTCTGCAGCCAGCCTTCTTCGTCCTCTATGCACTGGGCTTTGCAATTGCATTTAAACCTTCTTTCTCTTGATAATCTAAATGCGTAGAGCAGATGTGTCTCATGCTACACATACAACATCAACATTTAATAATTTTCTCTTTATTTTCCTTCTCCAAAGCCTAAATGAAAGGACCTGAATGTGCTAAATTAATACAATCTTTTTGCTATTCAGGGTGATTTTCTCAAAATGAGAAACATTTCAGTATGCATGACTTAATTTCATTTTGTTCTTGACGCAAGAATAACATCAGTTGGAGCAGAATGTTATTGTCCCACCACCCATTGCTCGCTGTCATCTTCACCAGCCTGTTCCATCCTTCCATCTTTCCAGAGGCTGGTCCATCACAGGGGATGTCATAAATCCACTCAGTGTCTCCTTCTTGGCCAGGTGTCTGTAAGGTTGTTTTGGAAATGAGTCCCACACTCTGATTAAATTCTTTCATGGGGCACTGTGTGCCAATAACACTCATTTTCCGAGCCCAGGACAGTGTCCCAGGCAGAGACATGGGACACAGGCTCTGTCTGCAGTCATCCAGCCGTTGTTCTCACCACCACAGGCACACAGTACTTGCCCTGCTGGGTTTGGGGTATAGTCAGTCTGCCAGGCCTCCCCATACTTGTATTCCAGCCCTCCCTAAACAGGGTTTTGATTTGGGACATCAAAAACTCTTTCAGTTGATATTTATGAGCCCAAATCCTCCCTAAATTAGTGTTTCTCAGCTCCCTAAATTGGTGTTTCAGACACCAAAATATCCTTAAATGCATGTCTCTGAGCCCAAAATCTCTCTAAATTGCTGTTTCTGAGCTCAAAATATCCCTAAATTGATTTCTTTGAGACTTGGAACTCCCTCTTTTTTTTTTTTCTTTTTTTTTTTTTTTTTTTCCCGAGACAAAAACTTCACAAAATCAGTGTTAATGTTATGTTTGCCCAATTATCTAATCACAAATAAAAGGCCAAACAAAATTAAATAATTAGGGGTTTCTACGCCATGAAGTTCCCAAATCCAGTGTCCAGAGCCCTGGCGCTCCTGACTGCAGCCCTGTGCCCCGTCTGCCATCAGCCCCGGGGGTCGCTCCCCGTGCCCCCGGTGCCCTCCCGGCGCATTCCCGCTGCCCCGGGAGGCTCCAGGAGCAGGGAGGGGCCGCTGGCTGCGCCCATTCCCCCCCAGCCCAAGGAGCCGCTTCCTGACCGGAGCATTTCCACTTTCAGTTTCCAGGGATTTACGAGAAATCAGCGTCAAAGCGAGAAAGGAGCAGCGGAGGGGAGGGAGGAGCCCGCGGGGGTGGGCTCGGGGGCGGGCAGGGTGGGATATACCCGGGCGAGCGGAGCCCCCGGCGCTCACAGCCCGGCGCGGAGCTGCTTCTGCCCAGCCCTGTCCCAGGTAAGCGCCAGCCCCTCTCCTGTTTCCCCGCGGTTTGCTCCTTCTGCTCCCGAAATTGATGTTTCTCTGCCCAAAAGCTCCCGAAATCGCTGGTTTGGAGCACCAAAGCTCCCTAAGTGGGGACTCCAGAGCCCAAAATCGGCTTAAACTGGGTTCTTTTCAGAGCCCAAAAGCTCTCTAAATTGTTGCTACTGGTCTGAAAATATCCCCAGATCACTCTCCCTGATTCCCAAAGCTCCCGACAGGATTTTTTCTCAGCCTTGAACTCCCCAAATCAGGGTTTTGTAGGTCTGCGTGTCCCTAAATTGGTGTTTAAGAGCCCCAGTGCTCCCTAAATCAGTATTTCTGAACCCAAATGCTGTTTCAGGTCCCAAAAAGTCCCCAGGTGGCTTTTCTGAGCCCCAGTACTCCTGAAACTTCTGTATTCTCAGGTGTGAAGTTCCCCAAATGCCTGGTTCTGAGGCCAGAAGCACCTTGAAATGGTATTGCTGAGCCCCAAAGTATCCTAAATTGCTGCTTTTTAGCCGCAAGTCTCTGGGCACTGATTTTTCTGAGCCCCAAAGCTCATTAAATTGGTGTTTCTGGGACCTGAAGCTCCCCAAGTTGCTTTTCCTGATGCACAAGGCTTCCCGAGATCCCGTTTTGAGTACTGCAGTTCCTTAAACGTGCTTCTGAGCCCAAGAGCTCCCTAAATTGGAATTTTGAGCTGAAAAGCTGCCTAGGGGGGACTTTCTGAGGCCAAAAGTTCCCCCAGTCAGTGGTTTTAAGCCAAATGCTCCCTAAATTGGTGTTTCTCAACCCCAATGTTGCCTAAAGTTTGGGCTTGTTCAGAGCCCAAAATCTCTCTAAATCATTGTTTGGGACTCCAGAGCTCCCAAACTTCCAGTTTCTGAGCCCAAATGCTCCTGAATGGGAGTTTCTGAACCCCAGAGAGCCCAAAATTGCTTGTTTTGATCTCAGAAGCTGCCTACATAATTTTTTTCGGGTCCAAACCCATCCCTAGATGGCTTGGAAGGCTGTGCCTGAGTGCTGGTGGAATGCAGAGGGAGGGGAGAGGCTCTGCCAGAGGAGTGTCAGGGAGGATGAGGATGGGAGGTGTGAGGAGCAGCTGGCACACCTGGAGATCCTCAACAGGATGGGCAGAGGTTGACTAGTGTGAGTGAGCAGTGGAGGGGTCAGAGAGGGGGGGCACTGCTTTGGCAGCTCAGAAACCCCCTGATCATCAGGGAGAGTTGGCAGAAGAGCTCTGGGGCAGCCTGGAGGCGTCTCCAGGCAGTGAGCAGGTTCCCGTGGGAATGACAGCTGCCCTGGCACCCATGGCCAGGCAGAGCACAGGGCTCCGGCAGCCTGGGGGAGCTGGGAGCGATGACCCAGCAGAGCTGCCCTGTGGGGGAACAGGGGGATGCTCACGGGCACCCGGTCCTGCCCCACAGGGAAGGGCTGGTCAGGGATGTGCTCATCAGGGCCAGCCTGGGCTGTCACAGCCAGGAAATAGTGGGGTCCAGGCACCAAGGGCAGGGACTGAGGCCAGCAGCAGAGCACAGGGCTGAGGCTCCAGAGAAGACTTTGATGGGCTGAGCCAGGTGGTGGCAGGGCCAGCAGCAGCTGAGGAGGGTTCCCACCCCCATGGGCTGCTCCCTCCCCCCCAGCACCTCCTTTCTCGGCTTGACGCTGATTTCCCGTAAATGCCTCTCAGGAAATCTGATCACTTCACAGGGCAGCCTCTTCCAAGGGCAGGAATGGTCCCTCCAAGAGCCAGGAGTAAAGCACTCCTCTCCTGAGGCTCTCGGCTGAACTGACCGAGCTGCAGGGTGAAAAGGCAGCACAGGGAGGTGGAGCACACGAGCCAGCAGCAAAGCAAGCCAACAGCTCCCAGGGCTGTGTGAGCAGGAGCACAGCCAGGGGAAGGGCTGAACCCCTGCCCAGCACATTCACACCACACCTGCCCAGCGACATTGGGGCTGTGGCACTCAGGCCCTGGTGGGTCACTGCCATGGTTTGGCACTGGCACAATGCTAGTGCTTCTATGAAAATATATTCTTCTTAGTGGCTGCTGTGAGATGTGACCAGAAGTAGAGCAAAGCAGGCTTCAGCTTAGGAATAAAGGAAAAAACTTTATTAACTTAGCATATGTGAAAAGGAACACATACAGAACTCAGAATGAAAACCTTCCAAAACATTCCTCGTCCTCCCCCTAATTTCCACCACAGCACAATGAGATAAAACCTTAGATTCTCAATCCAGTTACCATCCCTCAGATAATCAATTCTCAGTTCATCAAGGGGAGAGGAGTCTTCCTTGTACCATAGGCTGCCCCAGGAAACACAGTTGAAACCTCTTGTCTTGTTTCCATGTCACGCTTGGCACCGCCCAGAGAACATTTGCCTTCGTGGCTTCTTCCTTTCCACATCCAGTGCTCTCACCACTGCACATGGACCAGAGCTGCTTCTAGGGTTCCCCTTTTAAGGATGCTTTGCCCAGTTCCAAAAAAGCAACAGTCTCTTACTTTCGGGACACCAGTCCCCCTCAAATTCACACCCTGGGGCCGAGGGATCTTGAGAACAGAGATCTTCTTCACTGAAGACAGAGGGCACCACCACACCCTCCTCAGCCGTCTCTGTTCACGCACTCCTTCACATAACATCACTGCACTCTCTTGGCTGTAAGCCATTGCCTCCCCCTAAATGCAGTCTTTGTGTTACATGAAATTGGTTGTCTATGGCTATGCAAGAAACGTCCAGCCAAAGGCCACTCCATCATCTCCTCCCACCTAGGATTCTTTATCTTCTTCTGACATCCTTCACTTGCTCAGACCTCCACCACACTTGCCCATTTCCTTCTATGTCATGTCTGTCTCTCTTCTCATTCAAATCAAGGAGGGTTAATGTTCGCAAAGCCTTCATTGTCTAAGAAAAGGGTTAAAATCTCAGGCTTTGCTTGCTCAGGACTCTTATGGCGGCCGGGCACTTTCTCCCTGCGTTCCCCTTTTAAGGATGCTTTGCCCAGTTCCAAAAAAGCAACAGTCTCTTACTTTCGGGACACCAGTCCCCCTCAAATTCACACCCTGGGGCCGAGGGATCTTGAGAACAGAGATCTTCTTCACTGAAGACAGAGGGCACCACCACACCCTCCTCAGCCGTCTCTGTTCACGCACTCCTTCACATAACATCACTGCACTCTCTTGGCTGTAAGCCATTGCCTCCCCCTAAATGCAGTCTTTGTGTTACATGAAATTGGTTGTCTATGGCTATGCAAGAAACGTCCAGCCAAAGGCCACTCCATCATCTCCTCCCACCTAGGATTCTTTATCTTCTTCTGACATCCTTCACTTGCTCAGACCTCCACCACACTTGCCCATTTCCTTCTATGTCATGTCTGTCTCTCTTCTCATTCAAATCAAGGAGGGTTAATGTTCGCAAAGCCTTCATTGTCTAAGAAAAGGGTTAAAATCTCAGGCTTTGCTTGCTCAGGACTCTTATGGCGGCCGGGCACTTTCTCCCTGCACCCCCCCCCCTTCTCCTTCTCGGCCATGCTGCCAGCACATGATATCAAATTCAAGGCGGCACAGGCTCTCTATCTCTCTCTCTCTCTCTCCCCCAGGAAAGGGGGGTGCTGCCCGATGCCTCTCAGCGTTCCTCCACCCCTCTGTCCTGCAGGGGCTCCGGCCTGCCTCAGCTTAGGCCGCATGGCTTCCCCTCCTTCCCCCAGCCCGCGGCTGGGCAGGGGAGACCTGACCTCTTTCACGGACCAAACCAAGAGGGAGTTCCTCTGGGAGTTCTCTGCTTTTAACCCCCTGTGTTCTCAGAGGCATATCCATGTCTCCAACGTCCACACCAGGTGCCAATATTCAAATGTGAGCACTAATTGGTTTGACCACAACCTCCCAAAAAACTCACTTCCTTGTTAACCTAACCTTGTTAACCTAGTCACTGAGGTGGCAATCCTCCAGCTGTGCTTCAGGTGCCAGTGGGATTTCCTTAAGAATATCAGTGTCTGCACCAACAAAACCACAACAAAAGCATGGCCCTGCCCGAACAGGAGTGTCTGCAGCAGAGCAATCTGCACAGTCAGCAGCCGTCCCTCTGGGCAAGGCGCGTGGAATCGCTGTTGGCAATCCGCAGCAGTGACACCGCTCCTCACACGGCTTCCCGGGCAGCGCCCGTCCCTGGGCTGGGCACTGCTGAGCGCCTCAAGCGCTGTGTCCAGTTCTGCCAGAGGGGACTGAGTGGGAAAAGCTCCCTGGGCCATGCTGGGGCCTTCACTGGGCTGTGCTGAGGTCTGAAGGAGCCCTGCTGCCCTCCGGAGCCCCCAGGGCTTTCAGTGTCTGTGTCTCATCAAGGCCCAGCTGTGCTGCAGAGGGTGAGGGACCACAAAGTTAATATTTCACAGAATTCCCACTCAAAGTCCATTGTCCCTTCCCGCTCACAGTCTACAGACACTAATCCAGCTCCTAATTCATTCCTACAAAGAGAAAAAATGGTCAATTCAGGCCTTATTTATTTCATGGGTTTTTTGTCTGATAGCAAAAATTGTTGCCATGACTCTTGCTACACTTTAAATGGGAGAAAAGTAAAAAGTAAGTAGCGTATTGATTAGGCACAGCCTGGATGCCATGAATACATTATGGCCAATTGTTTGTTTCTTTGATCTTGGCTGATCAGAAAAATTTTTAGTCTGAATATATAATGAAAAATTATTTCACGGAGTGAGTAGAACTTATTCTTTTAATTTTTATATTTTATATTATTAGCTCACCTTAGCACCCCAGAAAAAGCATAATGAGATTTCACCATCACTCATACAATCCTCCTGGATTTAACTCAAATACTGGTATTAATGTTGTGTTACACTCAATGCATAATTCAAAATGTCTAATTTATTTGGCATCTGTTGGCAGACCAGACTCTGTTGGTCTCTGGGCAACAGAGCCATCACTGACAATGCAAAAGAGAGAGTTTCTTCTTTTTTTGTTTGTTTGTTTTTTGTTTTTTTTTTTTGTTTTTTGTTTTGTTTTTTTTTTTTTTTTTGTTTGTTTTTTGTTTTTTTTTTTTGTTTTTTGTTTTGTTTTTTTTTTTTTTTTTGTTTTTTTTGGGGGTTTTTTTTGTTTTGTTTTTTTTTGCCAAATTTTTCTGTCTCCTCTCACCCCTGTCCCCCCTCCTTCCTTTTCCTTTTCCTTCTCCTCCCCTCTCCTGTCTTTCTCCTTTCCTTTCCTTTTTCCCCCTCAAAGCTTCAGCTTTGGCTCAGAAGTGCAGATCTGGCCCTGCATAAAATAATTTTCCTGTCTAAACCAGTTGTCAGTGCTCCTTCCAAATATGAGGGCCAGAGAGAACAATGTGTCTCTGAGTGTGAGAAGCGGGGTGACCCATCCCTGGAAGCACAACCATCTTTCCATGAGTAGTGACCTGAGGTAATGTCTGTGTTCATCAGTTATCAATGGCAGAGGCACATCCAGGACAGCTCCATGTGCACATCATCTACTCACTGTTACTGTTTGAGAAGCCATCACACTGTTGCTCAGCTTTCAGGAGAAAAGCCCTCCAACTCTGAGCGTTTTATGCCACTTATATGCTTTCCCTCCTTTCAGACTAGAGCAAAACAGGAAAAGGTAGTGGGAGGAGATAGAGCAGGGTTCAGTGCTGGGAAATCAGCCCTGGCATCTCCTGTCTGACCTTCAGTTAGACCCGTGGCAGAGCCATGGGCCCTGGGGCTGTGACTTCTCTTGGGTCCCTGCTGGCACTTCTCTATTTCTAATCCTCAGTGGATCTCTTTTCCTCACTCGGGTCTATCCTCCCCCTGAACACCAGGAAAGCTTTCTGGACATGCAGCAGCTTTTGGCAAGGGATTCCTTAATTCAGTCCAGGTCCTCCTCCTTCTCTGGAACATGGCCCTGGGCAAAGAAAACAGAAAGTCACAAGGAGCAGACAGCCCAGGGAAATGGGGTGCAAGGAGAGGGAGAGCAGAGCACGGCAGCGAGGTGTGCCCTGAGCAGAGTTTTCCTCACTCCTGAGCAGTCCCTGTTTCTGCCTTCACCTCGTCCCTGCTGCTCTGATGGATGTACTCAGAAGGGACAGGCAGCTTTGCTGGAAGGGTCAGCAGAGCCCTGCTTTCTGCAGCCAGCTGTGCAGAAGAGGATATTTAAGAAACTCCCCGTTCTGACCCTTCCCGAGGCTCTCTGGCCATCAGACTCCAGCCACCAGAGGTGTTCAGTGCTGGGACCAGAGCCCCTCCACAGCAGAGGCTGCAGTGCCCCAATGGGCCCTGCTGGACTCCCCGCACCCCCCTCCCACAGCCAGCCCCTGTGTCCTCCCTGGTTCCAGCCCAGGTTTCCCAGAGCAGTCTCAGCTGTCTGATTCCATAAAGCCATTTATTCCCAGTGCAGTGACACAGGAACAGCGTGAGCTGTTCCCCCAGCAAGGGAGCCCCTCAGTTTTATCCCCTCACAGTCTGCATGCCCAAGGCCTGGCTCTTCCTCCCAAGCCCTTGGCTCCTGCTGGGTCTCTCGGTGTCCCTTCCCCAGCTGTGCCACCACTCTTGGTGCTCTTTGTTGTCCTTTGCTGGCAGTTCACGAGCTCTTGTCTCGGGCTCCCACCTGAGCTCAGCTTGCATCTGGCACTGCAGCTGGCCCAGCCACCTGCACCGGGTGTGTTCATAGCCAGGAGAGGGGAGAGCGGCACTGAGGTGGTTTCAGTTTTTTCTTTGTTACTCGGCTTGCTGCTCTGTTGGGAATTGCTCAGAAAGCAAAGCAATCGTCCCCAAGTCGAGTCTGGTTTGCCCGTGGTGGCAACTGGAGAGGGATGTCCCAGGCTCTAGGTCAGCTCTTCAGTCGTGATTTTTCCTCCTGTCCAGTTGAGGAGGGGGAGTGAGAGAAGTTTGGTGGGTGTCTGGCAGCCAGCCAAGGTCACTTGTCCTTTCTCCATTGATTTCTTCATAGCTGGTCAGGATAACCTCCAGGATTTGAGTCTGAAGGAATGGAAAATGGTCCCTTACCTCTGTGGAAAATTGTGGCTGGGGTTGAACACCAGATTCTGCACTCTGCAAAAGCAGAAGGTCCTAATTTTGACCAAGGAAGATGATGTGTGTGTCTGTGAAAATTCTCAGAGCTCCAGGGCAGACAAGATGGGTTAGGGACTAGCTGGGAGTGCAACAGAACATCTTATCAACTGCGTTATCTTCTCTAGTGCTGGGCTCACCACAGAGATTTTGCCCCTCTTTTCCCTTGCATTGCAGAGTGAACCTAGAGAAAAGGATACAGGAGACAAGAAACAAGGACTGAATATCCTGGAAAGAGCTAAAGATCTGTTTGGACAGTGATGGAAGGGAAAATCAGTAAATTTAAAAACCCTGAGTAGATCAGAGGTTTGAGTAGTATGAGGGATATATGTGTCCCAAGAAAGTTCTTAAAAGCATTTTTTCAATCCTAAGGGGAAATACCATAGTGAAGCTTCCTCTTTTTAATTTTTCTTTTTCTTTTCAGGTGAACCTAATGGCCACAAGAAAAAGGAGTTCATGGCAGCATTACCCTGGAGGCCAAATGGAGTCCAGAAGTAAGTGTGGACTCATGGAATCCCATGGCTCTTTTCTGTGGCCATCCTTGGGAACCCTTGGGATGGGATGTGTTATCCCTGAGAGAAGTGAGGCCAGTGGAGGTCTCTGCCCTGAGCATGTTGCCTGCAGAACCCCTTCCAGAGCCCAGCAGAAGGCCTGGCCTTTGGGGTGGGATCAGTTTGGTCACAGGGGTGACCTCCTTTGACCAGGGACACATCCTACTCTAGTGGGGGGTGTTGGGTGCAAGGAGAGGGAGAGCAGAGCACGGCAGCGAGGTGTGCCCTGAGCAGAGTTTTCCTCACTCCTGAGCAGTCCCTGTTTCTGCCTTCACCTCGTCCCTGCTGCTCTGATGGATGTACTCAGAAGGGACAGGCAGCTTTGCTGGAAGGGTCAGCAGAGCCCTGCTTTCTGCAGCCAGCTGTGCAGAAGAGGATATTTAAGAAACTCCCCGTTCTGACCCTTCCCGAGGCTCTCTGGCCATCAGACTCCAGCCACCAGAGGTGTTCAGTGCTGGGACCAGAGCCCCTCCACAGCAGAGGCTGCAGTGCCCCAATGGGCCCTGCTGGACTCCCCGCACCCCCCTCCCACAGCCACCTGCTGCTCTGATGGATGTACTCAGAAGGGACAGGCAGCTTTGCTGGAAGGGTCAGCAGAGCCCTGCTTTCTGCAGCCAGCTGTGCAGAAGAGGATATTTAAGAAACTCCCCCTGCTGGCCTTCTGGCTGAGAAAGGTGTAGAAATGCTATTTGAGGAACTATGTAAGTGTGCTGGATCCCATTGCTCTTGTCTGTGGCCATCCTTGGGAACTCTTGGGATGGGATGTGTTATCCCTGAGAGAAGTGAGGCCACTGGAGGTCTCTGCCCTGAGCACGTTGCCTGCAGAACCCCTTCCAGAGCCCAGCAGAAGGCCTGGCCTTTGGGGTGGGATCAGTTTGGTCACAGGGGTGACCTCCTTTGACCAGGGACACATCCTGCTCTAGTGGGGGGTGTTGCTGAGGAGGGCTTTGAGGGTCAGGCTGTGAGTGTGCCAAGGGACACTGAAGGGTCCTGGGGGGTCCCTCTCCACTCCTGGAGTGAGAGGCAGAAGGGTCTCACCCTCTTGTGTGAAAATGCGGGTGTTAAAGTGCTAGGTGCTGCTGCCTATCTCTTGTCCCCTGCAAGCCTCTCCTGTCGAAGGGCAAGCTGAGTTAATGTTCAGGCAATGCAGTCAAACCTCCACTCAACCCTTACTGCAGCTGGCTCAGCGACAGAGGCAAGAAAGGCTCTTTTGCAAGGTTTCATTCCAGCGGGGTAACACGGTCGCTGAAGGACAAAGCCAGGGAAAGAGGATGAACCACGTGGAGCAGGCAGCTTATAAAGGGCATAGGGTCGGGGGCAGAGCTAAGGGGTGGGCAGAGGGGCCTGGCCACCAGGGGTAGGGGGGTGGCCACCACGGGTACCAAGCCAGTGACAGGGAAAGGAGAAACCAGAGGAAGTTGCAACACCAAGTCCGTGGGGGAGAGTGTTTTTCCCTTTGGGAGGGATGACTGTATGGTATGTCGTTAATGTTTCCAGGGCTGAGGGCTTGGGGATTGACCAAGGTGGGAAAGTTCATGGGATGCTACACTCGTGGGTGGCTGTGCTCTGGTGGGACTGAGGCACCTGTGTGGTGCCTGAGTGCTGTGCCAGCTGAGGCAGCTCCCTGGCCCACGAGAGCCTCAGTGGGTCCCGAGGGTCAGGAACCCCCCAGCACTGCTGTGGGGCTCCTGCTCCACAGGAGTGGCTCCTGAGCCAGCTGTGGGATATGTTCTGCCCTAAAACCTGCTCAGTGCAGTGCTGGAGTTCCTTGGGGAAAGGTCCTTGTTAAACGTCCTGTTTTGTTTTTGATTTTATTTTCATGTGCACCTGATGTCCAGTATCTGATGATGATGACGATGATGACTATCGGCCTCAGAAAGGTGCAGAAAAGATGTTCTACAAAAGCTGTAAGTGTGCTGGATCCCATTGCTCTTGTCTGTGGCCATCCTGGGAACCCTTGGGATGGGATGTGTTATCCCTGAGAGAAGTGAGGCCACTGGAGGTCTCTGCCCTGAGCACGTTGCCTGCAGAACCCCTTCCAGAGCCCAGCAGAAGGCCTGGCCTTTGGGGTGGGATCAGTTTGGTCACAGGGGTGACCTCCTTTGACCAGGGACACATCCTACTCTAGTGGGGGGTGTTGCTGAGCAGGGCTTTGAGGGTCAGGCTGTGAATGTGCCAAGGGACAGTGAAGGGTCCTGGGAGGTCCCTCTCCACTCCTGGAGTGAGAGGCAGAAGAGTCTCACCCTCTCGTGGGTGGCTGTGCTCTGGTGGGACTGAGGCACCTGTGTGGTGCCTGAGTGCTGTGCCAGCTGAGGCAGCTCCCTGGCCCACGAGAGCCTCAGTGGGTCCCGAGGGTCAGGAACCCCCCAGCACTGCTGTGGGGCTCCTGCTCCACAGGGCCTCTTGGCTCCTGGGCCAGCTGTGGGATGTGTTCTGCCCTAAAACCTGCTCAGTGCAGTGCTGGAGTTCCTTGCGGAAGGGTCTGTGTTAAATGTTCTGTTTTGGTTTTGATTTTATTTTCATGTGTACCTGATGTCCAGTATCTGCAGGTGCTGGCTTTCTGGCTAAGGAAGGTGTAGAAATGATATTTGAAGCAATCAGTAAGTGTGCTGGATCCCATTGCTCTTGTCTGTGGCCATCCTGGGAACCCTTGGGATGGGATGTGTTATCCCTGAGAGAAGTGAGGCCACTGGAGGTCTCTGCCCTGAGCACATTGCCTGCAGAACCCCTCCCACAGCCCAGCAGAAGGCTTGGCTTTTGGGGTGGGATCAGTTTGGTCACAGGGGTGACCTTCTTTGATCAGGGACACATCCTGCTCTAGTGGGGGCTGTTCTTCACAATTGGTAACATTTTCAAAGACATAGCACATCCCTTCTGGGGTTTCCTTTCCTTGCTTTGAACAATTAAGGAGTAATCTCACCCTGGGCCTAGCTACAGGGAAAAAAGGCAGAAGCCTTTGTGCAGGTGAGTGCCAGTCCTTGCCCACACTACCTGGATACTAAACCCTGCCAAGCAGGAAGGAGATCCAGAGGTCTATTGTGCATGAGGGCCCAGTGGAGTCAGATTGAGCAATCCCACCTGTCCATAAATTCCCATTTGCTAAGGCCTCCAGCCAGTCCTTTGTTATATTGCCCATCCCTATGCAGATGCCCAGAATCCCAGGGTGCTGAGATGTCCCAGCAGAGGGCTTTTCCCAGCACAACCAGGAGGAGAGGAAACCAAAAACCAACCTGTCGAAGACCCAAGAAGAGACTCTCAAGAGGAGACTTTAAAACAGAGGATTTGATCATCCTCAGGCAGGATGGGTGCTCTCCCCATCAAACGAGCAATGTCCATTGCCCACTGACACCAATCCTTTTCTACAGGAAGGGGGAATGAGGAGAAGACCATGAAAGCGCTGGAATATAAGAGAGATGAAACCTCCCAGGAGCTCAAAGAAACAGCGAAAGCCTTGCAGGATTGTCTCAAAGAATTACGGGAGTCCAGACAGCATGAACGGGAGCTCTTCAGAGCATACCTGGAGAAGAACCAAGGTGAGCAGGGCCATTGCCAAGCAGACTTTTTTGTGCTGGGAGTTCTCACATTGCCTGATGCTTGTCTTTGAACACTAAAGGAGGAATCTCACCCTGGCCTTAGCTACAGGGACAAAAGGCAGAAGCCTTTGTGCAGGTGAGTGCCAGTCCTTGCCCACACTACCTGGATACTAAACCCTGCCAAGCAGGAAGGAGATCCAGAGGTCTATTGTGCATGAGGGCCCAGTGGAGTCAGATTGAGCAATCCCACCTGTCCATAAATTCCCATTTGCTAAGGCCTCCAGCCAGTCCTTTGTTATATTGCCCATCCCTATGCAGATGCCCAGGATCCTAGGGTGCAGTGATGTCCCAGCAGAGGGCTTTTCCCAGCACAACCAGGAGGAGAGGAAACCAAAAACCAACCTGTCGAAGACCCAAGAAGAGACTCTCAAGAGGAGACTTTAAAACAGAGGATTTGATCATCCTCAGGCAGGATGGGTGCTCTCCCCATCAAACGAGCAATGTCCATTGCCCACTGACACCAATCCTTTTCTACAGGAAGGGGGAATGAGGAGAAGACCACAAAAGACTCAGAATCGAAGAGAGATGAAGCCTCCCAGGAGCACATGAGAACACTGAAAGCCTTGCAGGAATGTCTCAATGAATTAGAGGAGTCCAGACAGCGTGAGCGTCAGCTCCGAGCAAGGCTGGAGAAGAAACAAGGTGAGCGGGGCCATTGCTAAGCAGACTTTTCTGTGCTGGGAGTTCTCTCCTTGCCTGATACTTGCCAAGGGTCCCCCCTTGAAGTCCTGTCCCCGTCTCTCTCCCTTTCCCCAGTGCTCTTCTCCTGCTGCCCCGCTCCTGGTCCCATGCTGGGGCACATGTGAGATCAATGTTTTCCTATTGATGACCAGCAGGGAGAGGAGCTTCCCTGATCAGAGCCTGGATGTGTCTCTGCGAGCAGAGACCCTCTGTCAGGGACATTAAACCGGAGCCTTTGGGTATCCTCGTGTCAGAGAGCTTGTCTCCCCCTCAAGAAGGAATCATTAGTCACCCAGTGGCATTGTTCTTTCTTCACAGCAAAGAAAGAGGAGGAAAATCCAATTGCTGAGTTGATTAGCCAATTCCGGCAGCTCTCACAAAGATTTGAAACTCTGGAAGAGCGTTTGCAGAAATCGCCAGAGTCATCATAGCATGAGTTTCAGCTTCTCAGAGCAGACCAGGAGAAGTAACAAGGTGAGCAGGGCTATTATTAAGCAGACTTCCATCTGTCTGAAGGCAAAAGCTGCTCTACAGGCCAACCACTGTGTGAGCCATTCTTGGGAACCCTTGGGATGGGATGTGTTATCCCTGAGAGAGGTGAGGCCACTGGAGGTCTCTGCCCTGAGCACGTTGCCTGCAGAACCCCTTCCAGAGCCCAGCAGAAGGCCTGGCCTTTGGGGTGGGATCAGTTGGGTCACAGGGGTGACCTTCTTTGACCAGATTTTAGTACTCCTTGGACCTACCTCAGAGAAGTTTGAGCCAGGAACTCTCTGTCTGGGAAACAGAATTATCACACATCCTGATTTACTATTTCCTTTTGGAGACATGAGAACAGAACTAGTTAAGAGAATGGAGTGGGCAGGAGGGGAGTGTGAGAGTGGTCTCAGAGCAGATAGTTGGTAACTGTTTGGATCCCCCTCCAAAGTGTCTATTAGGGGACACATCCTGAGAAATATCAAAACCTGGAAATTACTGTGGACAATGAGCAGATTTTAAGGCACTCTGAAAATATTGCAATGGGGAAGTTTCAGTTGGCACCAGGAAATAGTCAAGGAGCATCTGGGCTGTGGTGGGGAAGGTGCATCCCTACAGCAGATGGGACCAGTGTAGCCCTGCAGCTACAGCCCCTCCCACTGTATGGCAAACCAGAGAGGTCTCCTGCAGGGAAATTCATCTCCCTTTGTCTTGCTTTGAAAGACAGATGCCGCCAAGGAAGGCGGCAACCTGCCTTGGAATAAAAAAATGTGACCACCTTCCTTCCAAAGTATTATAACTTCAAAATTATTGGGCTTTCAGGCAAAGATACGGGAAAAGGAATAGCAGTTCTTTACTAAGATATATATGTAAAACAAGGCAAACAAGCAACAGTGGCAGCAACAACAAACAGAACCACAGACTCAGTGCCAGGCAGGAGCACAGACCCAGTGCCAGGCAGAGGCACAGACCCAGTGCCAGGCAGAAGCACAGACCCTTTGCCAGCCAGGATCACAGACCCAGTGCCAGGCAGGAGCACAGACCCAGTCCCAGCCTTCTCCCATCTCTCAGGCACTTTCCCCTTTGGTGCAGTTCTGGTATTCACAGCTCAATAGGGTCTTACTCCCTCCCCACTATATGGAGCTGTTGTCTACACTCAAAATATGGTCCCTGTTTTTGATTTACTACAGCCTCTCACTCAGCTTGTAATAGCTCATGAGTACTGGGGAGCATCCATTCAACTCCACAACAAAGAGTTAGAATTCGTACTTGCCCTCCATTTGTGTTTGAACTTTTCCCTTTCTCTTGACAAATTTTGCAACCCACTTGCCGCTTGGGCGAGCTACAATGCCAGAGCTGGCCACAGTTTTTCACACTGACATTGTACCTAGCTTGAGTGTTTTGCCCTAGGGTGCTTTAAGCAGGGAATGTGACCAGGAATAAATCTGGCAAATGTCTCAGCAGGGACAGCTGATGGTTTTTCTTTTTGTAGGTCACAGGCAAAACCAAAAATTCTAGGATCACCTATGGACCCCGTGTTTGTTAATCTAGATAATCCTGATGACCCTGACTGGGGAAGTAGCAAACCACTGCCCCAGAGTTTGGAAAGCCTCTGGCCTATGGGAATACAAAAAAATCTAGAAAGCCCACGGGGAACTCCCTCCTAGTCTGGATTGATGTGCAGTTGCTTGTGGTTTACTTGCCACACTGACCTTGTGAGTTTCATTTAGAGTAATTTTCAGTCCTTCGATGACTTTCTAGTCACGGGGTTCTGCTGCTGCTGCTAGCATGGGTCCATCCTCATTCTGCAGTTCATACAGCTGATTCAGTGGTCTGCAACACCTGAAAGTGACCTTCCCTTTGAGGGGTTAAAGGTTGGTCTTTCCATGGTTTAACCATTACCCAATTCCCAGGATTGACATTATAAATTTTGAAATCTAAGGTAGCAGTCTGAGGGAGCATCCCTTTTCCTCACTGTTCCTCTAAGGTTTGTGCTTTAGACAGAACATATTTCTTGACTCTGTCCTCCCCTTCTTCATAAGTGGCAACATTCTTTGGTGAAATCAGAAAGGGTAAGCCAAACATCATTTCATAGGGTGAAATCCTTAAATCTGATCTAGGTTGTGTCCTTATTCTCAACAAGGCTAGGGGTAGGCATTTTACCTATGACATTTGGGTTTCAATCATCAGTTTATTTAGAGTTCTCTTGAGAGTTTGATTCATCGTTTCAACCCACCCTGAACTTTGTGGATGCCATGGAGTGTGTAATTCCCATTCTATACCCAGAGCTTGGACCACCTGCCATAGTATTTTTGATGTGAAATAGGTTCCTCGATCTGCGTTGATGTTGTTTACTATTCCATACTGGGGAATGATGAGTTCTAGGAGAGTTTTACATATCATATTGGCAGTAGCTTTAACTGTTGGTACTGCCTCTCCCCAGTGGGTTAGATGATCTACTATTATTAGCAAAAATTATCACCGTTGTACTTGAGGGAGTTCAGTGAAATCTACTTGGATGCTTTGAAAGGGTTGTAATTCTTACCCTCCTCAGCCTGCTCCCCTCATGGCATTTCTGTTTACTTTTTGACATATTGCACAGTTATTTGCTTTTCAGTTACTTGCTTAGCTATTCCAAAAATTCCCATGCAACCCCAGTTTCTCAGGAACTAATCACTCAGCGCTTGGATACCCCAAGGAGTCTTACTATGCCTGCTCTCTAATATTTTCTTGGCTAATGGTTCATTTAACTGTCTCCCGTAAGATAACACCCACTTCCCTTTGTTGTATTTTTTGCTCTTATTTCAAGGAATTTCTTTTCCTCTGTCTCACTGAATACTGGTGTATCCTGAATTTCTTCAGTAGGGGTCAGTATCATCATCACGTTCTCTTCCCCTGACTCGGCTGCATTTTTAGCCTCTAAGTCTGCTAAGTTGTTCCCTCTTATTTCTAAGGTGGTCCCTTTCTCATAGCCCCCAAATACTCACAACAGCAATTTCCTCTGGCAATTGTAAGGCTTCTAATACTTCTGAGGTAAGCCTTTCATGAATTAATCCTTTCCCTTTTGAATTTAGCAGTCCTCTTTCCTCCCAGATTTTCCCAAAGGTATGCACCACCCTGAAGGCGTACTCAAAGTCAGTATACACAATCCCCCTCTCTTGTGTTAATATTTTGAGGGCCTCTTTCAAAGCCTACAATTCACATGCTTGAGCTGACCAGCTGGGGGATAACTTTTCTTTTCTGTATTTACTAATATACTAAAATTACTAATTTACTTTATTTACTACTTTTTCTGTATTTATTAACTTCTCATCTGCTATACATATCCTGACATTCACTGCCCCTGATTCACCCTCGAGGAGCCATCGATGTATAATCATTTCCCCCTGAAGGGGTTGGTCTGTCACATCTTCTTTCACTTTGGTTTGATAGTTTATAATTTCTAAGCAATCATGCAATAGCTCTTCCACTGGTTCTCCATACAAAAACTGGGCAGGGTTGAGATGCTTATCTGTAGTTAGTTCCAGACCATCTTTGTTTATTGAAATTGCTTCATATTTTAGTACTCGAGAATCAGTGAGCCACTTCTTAGCTTTCTGGTTCAAAATATTTCTGACTGCATGTGGGGTGTGCATTTTTAATTTCCCCCCAAGTGAATTTTCTGCTTTCTTCTACTAGTAAGGCAGTGGAGGCAGCTGCTTGGATACAGGTTGGCCACCCTCTGCTAACAGGGTCTATCAATTTTGACAGATAAGCCACTGGTTTCTTGGACCCCCCCTCATTCTTGGCTAGGACTCCATGGGCTACCCTATTTTCCACACCTACAAATAGGTAAAAAGGTTTATCTAAAGCAGGAAGACTTAGAGCAGGGACAATAATCAATTTTTGTTTTAAACTTTCTCTGTAAATCTTCTTTTTCCCACGTCATTTCCTCTTTTACTGATTTTTCATAGAGGAATTCAACAGCTTGGGTGTATGCTTCTATTCATATCCTACAATAAATATCCCAACCAGCCCAAAAAGTTTTCTGATTTCCTTTGTAGTTTTTGGTTGGGGAAGTGAGGTTATTCTTGTGATCCTTTTAGGATTCAATAACCTACTCCCCTGGCTCATTATATGCCTTAAGTATTTTACTTCATTCTCCACTAATTGAGGTTTTTCTTTTGATACTCGAAGCCCTTGGTTTCCAAAAAAATTTAGTAACAATATGGTGAATTCTCAGACTTTTTCCTTATCCTCCCCTGAGAGAAGTAAATCATCAACATGTTGGATAAGTTTTACCTCTGGTACTTTGGGGAAACATTGCAGTACTTCTTCTAAGGCTTGTCCAAATAGCTCAGGGGATTCAGTGAATCCTTGGAGTAATTTGGTCTGTCTGAATTGTTGCTTTCTCCCTGTATCGGGACCTTCCCATTTGAAAGCAAATATATCTCTGCTTTCTCCTGCTAGGGGACAGGTCCAGAAGGCATCTGTGAGGTCTGTCCCACTAAACCACCAATGCCATGGGGGAATTTTACTCAATAGTGTGTAGGGATTGGGCACCACTGGACATTGATCTCTAGTTTGTTTATTTATTTCTCTCAGGTCTTGGACAAGCCTGCATGTCCCATTTGATTTTTTTACTGGTAATATGGGGTATTTGGGGAGACATGCATGGCTCTAAAATTCCATCTTTAATCCTTTCTTGAATTACTGTTTGCAGCTCTTTTCTGGGTGTTGCCTTACTCGAATCAGGCAATCTGTTTTGATTATTATAGGCATTATGTTTAACTTGCCCCTATTTCCAGGCTTGGGCCAAACTGTTTCCTCATTTTGTTTTTTGTCTTCTCCCATTTTCTCTCCCCCTGGAGGCACCTTGATACTAAACTGCACTTGCAAATCCCTCCCCAGCAAATTACATTCTCTCCCTGGTACTAATAAACCATCCCCCATTCCTACTTTTTTTTGTTCCCTTAACTATTCAATTTTTATAATTGGTGCTTTAAATTCTTCTCCTTTTG